AGAAAAGAGAAGGGAAAGAGGAGGAAAAAATTTTAAATTAAAATGTTTTAAAATAATTATAGTATGTTTATATTTATGTTTATTTTAAGTTTTAAAAAAATATTAGTGAAAAAAATTTTATGATTAAAATTTAGTATATATCAAAATAATTTTTATTTTAGGGTTTAGGCCGGTGAAGTAATAAAAATTAAATTTATATGGTTTTAAATATATAATTGTGATGTAGTAGTATAAAATTTATTTGGTTAGGGTTAAAAAAAATTTATGTTTAAATGTAATTTTTTTAATAATAATAATTTTGATGTAGTAGTATAAGATTATTTTGTTTAAGGTTTAATTGATTATTCGTTATTAATGGGCATAAATATTTATTATTTTAATTTTATGCACATGTTTTTTGATTTTGTATAATTTCATAATGTCTCGTTAAAGAGTTAATCCGGGACCCACTGATGATTCTTTTTTGACTATGCAATCAATTCATCTATCTGAGCGCATATGGAATGGTGAGCCTGATAGAGTTCTTAATATTAGAAGAGCTACCAAAAGCGGCCATCGAGATAGGTCAATTCTTAACAAAGTTAGACCTTATCTTGCATGAGAAGGAATACTGGGAGTGACAGAAATGTCATACTTTCTTATTGACCACTAGTTAATTTCAAGATTAGTTGACCGGTGGAGGCCTAAAACACACACTTTTCACATGACATTTAAAGAGTGTACAATTACATTGGAAGATGTTTCAAAAAATTTTGGTCTTAAGGTACCTGGAGACCCAATTATAGGTTGTTCAACATATAAATGAGTTTCACTTGTTGAAGATTTGTTTGGAATTACACCAACATCAACTGCAACTAAAGGTGGAAGCCTAAATATGAGTTAGGTTGATCAATACTTTTTTGATGTTTCCATGCATGTGCACAACGTGCAACAAATTGAACGATATGCCCAAACTTATATTTTGTGGTTGTTTGGGGTATGTTTTTCTCTGACAAGTCTTCAACTCTAGTACTTATGCAATATTTGGTCATTTTAACAGATTTAGACCAATGTGGCAAACTTAGTTGGGGATCAGCCTTGCTTGCTCATTTATATAGAGAACTTTTCGTTGCCACTAATTATGACAATAAATTAATTAGTAGGGCATGTGTTTTACTGTAATTGTGGGCATGGTATCGGATGTCGTAATTTACACCCCCTAACTACACCACTAAATATTGTTAGCATTCCTTTAGGTGCAAGGTAACATTTTAAATTAAATTGCCTTATTTAATATTAGATTTAACATTAGATAAATATTTTTAATTAATTTGTTAAATTTTCATATTTTTAGGTGGAATAGTGCCTTGTAGGTGACACAAAGAACTCTTGTCTAGATTTTGGATGCGTTAGATAAGATGAAGGAAAAAGATGTACGTTGAGAGTTTTTGTTAATTACAAATTTAAAGTGGATATATTGAAATTAGTATTCATATATAACTTTTTGTGCTTTTTGTGTGCAGTTTGTTTGGCAGTCATACCTTCAATATTTTATTCACTACCACCATATTGTGTATAGAACACAAATATTTGGAGGGCGGTTGTGCCATTGATAGACTTTCATATAATTGGGTATCACCATGTTGACCATGTGATGCATCAGTTTGACATGGTACAACACATTCCTTGTCCTCCACATCAGCCAGATAATTTGCACGATCTAACTTTAAGTGGCAAAGATGATATTGTTTGGCAAGTTCAGCATGTTGTCTTTGTACACGAGTGGGAAACAAGATTAGACTATGTTTGGACACAAGAGGCTTGTACTACTACACAT